CCCCCCCCCCCCCCCCCCCCCCCCCCCCCCCCCCCCCCCCCCCCCCCCCCCCCCCCAATGAAAGGTGATGAATACAGCAAGTGATTTTAGGCAAGAGATGTTATGGTGAATGAGTTGCTAGTATGGCTGTAGGTATCAAGTTCCTGGGACAAAGGAACAAAGGTCAACCCTCATTTCTAGAAACATAAAGGCTGATTGCAGCTCAGCCCTGCCTCTTGTCTTTGGTGAAATGCTTCTGGTATTTCAGTTCAGAAGAGAAGCACAGCAATCCCCAGAAGCAGCCAAGTACTGAGACAATATGAAAGGGTACAAAGAAGCAAGCAATAGCATGGCGTTCCCTAGAGAACTGGAAGGAAGTGCATCACCAAAAAGCACCGTCTCTTTTTAGAAGGTGGAAAATACACAATGAGACGGGTGGATTCCACCTTGAAACCCAGTGTTTCTCCAGTTTAATATAGACGTTTGTTTTGTCCAACTCTGTTGTTCTGTGAGTGGGTGGGTGACCCTAACAGAAAGAGAAACGTGATAACCTCAAAAGATGGTTTCAGAGTGAGAGCTCTGAAGACCATAAAATGACAGTGCCTCTGGCTGTGTGGAATGCAGTTACAGGTCACAGCAATTCCCAGTTCCTATAAACCCTATTTCAGGTTTATACTTCTAAAAGACATGCATGCTTTCCACTATTTTTCCTTGCAATATGGATGTTTATAAAACTTTTGTTATGAGGATTCCAGGAGGGAGAGTAAGCGTGTAGGTTGCAACCTGACTTAATCTATGGAAAAAGAAAAGGTAGTATTTGCTATCGTTTTATACAGATTAAAATGTGCCACTGAGCATATGCAAAACACCTCATCCTTATAACCTTGTAACCACAGTCAAATCAGAAGGAAAATGAATTTTAACTTTTTTAAAAATTAAAGACACTTGATGCATTTGTTTCAGAGAGGGGAAATCTATATTTCCATCTCTACAAAGTGTTGATTGCCTCAGTTGCCTTTTGCTATAAATGGCGACAGCACTACTGTGTCTTGCAGGATTTCCCTAAGAACAAATGGGGAAAGAATGAACATCAAGGTTTGTGGAAACTATTTGGACCGATTCGCATTCATGAAGACTCTCTGAACCAGCAAGGAGTTTTCCCAGCCTTCCCAAATATCCCACTGTTTTTTCAAAGGCGTCAGAGCAACAGCTCTTGTTGCTTGCCATGAAAGTGTTAAATGGATCTTGTACCATTTAACCCCTCAAGTTCTTAGAAGTGACTTGTGCCTGGGGGAGAAGGGGGCAAAATGCTTGCTTCCCAGCCCTCTCCTTCTCAGTCCACCACTTCCAGAGGCCTTTTTCCATCGTAGCTGTAAAACCTCGAGTTTCTCTGAAACATCTGCCTGATCAATTGCCACATTTGGCAGCAGAGAGGGTCTTGGGTGCCAGCTGTGGCAGCCAAGAGGGGAGGATGGTACAAGCCTTGCATCAACTTGGTGGAAACCTCTGACTCGCCTCTTCCCCCACACCAGCACCAACAAAAACAAGACTGGGCTTTCAAGAGACCGAAAACTATTTCAACATCCAGGGGCCACTGTTTTGCAAGACACTGGGTAGGAAGAGAAACCACAAAGGCAGCACCAGAGCATTTCTAAAATGAGAAGTGTGATAGTAGGAAGCACGCGCTGCCACGACAGAAGCTTTGATCAAGAAGCCAAAATGAACAGAAGCTGGCCAAGATGAGCACTCGGCATACGCTCAAAGGTGCCTTCCTGATTGCTGCTTCAAGTCTGAACCCTGCATCCCTCATGCCTCTCCTGCTGTGGAGCACAAAAGGGAAAAACAGTTGATCCCTGGAGCCTCAAACAAAGGAAACAAAGCCTGTGTTCCTAAAGCTAAGGTCTCCCTCAAGTCCTTCAACTCTTGGCAACAACACCTGAGTTAACAGAGCACCATGGCTGTGTTCCCATAACATGCCACGCCTCCACCAAATAAACCATATCATGACTTAACGAGTGAGCCTAGTTCCCACAACATATTGAACCTAAACAACCTGACCTCTTTGGAGCCCAGTCTAGCTGTTCTACAAATTCAGCCCCAGTCTCAGGCCCCTCTCTGTAAAAGGAGAAGGGGCAATCTACCTCACAGCATTCTTGTAAGGATAAACATGGGGTCTGCAAGCTAATTTTTTGTCAAAGTCAGGGTTAAGTGGGGTTTATTTTTTTATAGCTCTGTTTGTAAAGTTTCAAATATAAATGCATGTATTCGAGACATCCCATCACACAGCTATGAGTGTAAAAAGAAAGGTTTTAGGAAGAAAAAAATAAGTTTTAAGAAGGGAAAGCTATTTTAGGCTCAGCAGTTGAGCTGTTTAAAAATAACTACAATTAAACATCCCAACTTATTACAAACGTTGTTCCCTTATGCCAAAGACCGAATAAATCACAGCTCAAGGGCTGATGGAGAATCCCCCCTCCCCCCTTGCTCCTTTCTGTAGAACCGAAGGGATTTAGGGAGGGAGCAATAAACAAAGGCCGTTCCTCTTCCGTGCTGTCTCATTTCACAAGGTTACCCCAAGGCATTTTTTTAACATTAAAAAATTGACACAGTACATGCCTCTGTCCCCCTAGTACATGCCCCCGCCCCGAATGTCTCAATCTGCTAAAAAAACTACTTAAAATTCTACTTCGACACAGAGGAGTTTGTTCAATTTTACAAAAGAAAGGAACTGGGATGTATCAGGAAAAATGGCTTTCCCAAATGATCTGCCACATTATTCAGAAACTAACCTTATTTAGTTACTGCATTTATAGCCCGCCTTCTATTAGGGTTTTCAAGACAGCACCCATGAGGGGCTCTCCCTTCATTTTACCTTTACAACAGTCCAGTAAGGTCAACTGGGCCAGGAGTAGTGAATGCTCCAAAATCCTCCACTGAGCTGGGTCTTATTACTACATTTCAGAAAGCAGTGCCAATTTTGCAGCCTAAAATGAACTGCCTATATCCACAGCTTGGGGACTACCATCTTTGATCATCCACAGCCAGCATGGGCAACCACATGACGGTTTCATCTGGAGCACATGAGGCTGGAGGAGGAGGAGGAATACCCCCTCCAAATCTGAGAGAGCTTGCACCCTGCTCCACGCACCACCTCCTTGTCAACAGTTGGGAGACCCACACCGTTTTCTTATGGAATGCCTCTAGGTTAAGCAGCACCCCCAAATATTAGACAGCCATTGTCTTCGCCCATGTGAAGGGACAGGCTAACCAGCCAACGAGGTTCTGCAGGTGGAGAGGAGGGTTTGGTCAGGAACATGTTTCAATTTCTGCATCCTGGAACGGTTTGATCCATAAAGGAGACCCAGTTAAATTCTCTTAGAGACAGTAAAATGAGTAACATGCTAAAAGAGCTCAAACGGACACAACAGAACAGCGCCTGGGATCAGTTCTGCATAGTTGCAGCTAAATTTGTGAATCCTCCATATAAGGGATATCCTTTTATATTGTAACTACAGAAACCCTATTGTTCACGGAATCAGGAGCAACCCTTTACAATAAAGGGACATCTGGCAAGGCAAGATCTGAAACAAGAAGTGGGGAGTGGGAGGGAAGATGCATTTTTTTAAAATGCAAATAAAATTATAGGGTGCTTTCAGCACCACATGGCTAAAGTGGTTTTCAAACTGCAGAACCGAGCGAGCAACAAAAGCAGATCCGTCTATTTGTATCTTGGCTGCAATCCAAGAGGAGAGACTGATTTGGAAGCCACAAAAGGCACTACAGTAGTTTTATTTTCGTATTAGACGTGTTCGGGGATCAAGCTAGAGAGGGAGATGTTACACCAATTCCATGGTGTTTGAACAGCCTGCAAAGTTTTACAAATTCAAATCAAATCACAGGCTTGTGTTTGTCTCTTACATTAATTTCTATTTTTTGTCCTAAATGAAGATTCCAGGCTGGGGGAGGAAGGTAAAAACAAAGAACTTCTGGCTCTCAAGCAGAACTAGTCCCCACTCATCCCAAAAGCACATGTTAAGTATGAATTCATAAAACTTCCCTAGGAACCTACATGCTTATAGGGTTGAAGATGGCCACGAAGGACTTGATTTTGCAGTCTGGATAGCCATGCCCACCCTTTCAATATTTTTTCTCAAAGCCTGCTCTCTGGAAAGCACAGAAATCAAGTACAGTTAAAACCAACAATTGCCTCAAAATTCCACTCACCCCCTAAAAGAAAGTCTACGCCACAGTACTCAACTACTCAAGAGCTTGGGTGTCTCACTAGATCACAGCCCAAACCCTAGCTAAACAAAGACCCCAAAGAGCAGAACTAACCTTCAAGATGTTTTCTTTCTTCCGATCAGTTTTAGACCTGGCCAAAGATTCTATCCGAGACATAATCCAGCCTTGAGTTGATTGGATTGGGTCTCCCACTAGCTAGATTGGTAGTGCGAGTTTTGGGCATCCAAAGCAAATGAAGAACAAAATGGGGGGGGGGGATAACAGTCAGAAGGGTGGATGAATGAAGTTCTGTCTTCTTGAAAAAGAGAGAGAAAAAAAGAAGATCCCCCCCTCCAGGCTCGCCCTTCCTTTGTACATCCAACTCACACGCAGGAAGTTAACTAGCCATGCTCAAAACTAAAACTTGGATTATTCAAACTGCTTTGCTCCTCCTCTCAGAGGCAGAGGAGGAGGAGAAACCCACGGAGAGTGTGCTCTTACACCAACTTGAAAAGAGAGATGCAAACAGGGGCAGTCCTGTTCCAGAAGCAGAGCAGATTGCATCAGAAACAGAGTTTGGATGCTCCTGCTCAGAGCAGCCGCTCCAGGGCCTGAGAAGAGCAGACCACTAGCAACCCAACGATGGCACCAGAGGAAATGCAGAAGCGTAGCATCTTCTCAGCTTGTTGATGGCTTATAGTTAGGCCCCTGCAGCTCTTTGGGGAACCTCAAATCAGCCATGCGATCGCACGGCACACTACAGCCAAGGAACAATCTTCTGCTGCTGCCCAGGACAGAGGCGCACACGCACCTGCCAAATGTGTAACAGCCAGAGTGAAGTAATTACATGCAACACCTTCATTGTTCACTTGCTAGAAGCAAGACACACACACCCCAGCCGCTCTGAGGTCATGGTCTTACTTTCTGAAAGCAGATACAGTACATGATAGTCCCAGTGGGTTGGGGTTAAACAAACAAGACCTGGGTTCAAATTCTCAGTCTGTCAAGCAGCCAGCCACAGCTTCTCAACCTAAACTACTCCACAAGCATCATTTGATCTCTTGGTATTAAGATTATGGAAAATTATTTTAGCAACAGCAGCAGCAACTGAAGGGAAAGTTCCTGAAAAAGTCATGGCAGGCTACCCACTGAATACTGAATTCAGAGATACTGAAAACAATGTGTGGAGATGACCCAAGAGATAAAAAATGACATCCGTGACACACAATGCAGACATTTCACACATCAGAGTCTTCTAAAATTCCAGAGAATCCTGACTGACATGAGTATACAGGTCAATGGACTGTATACAATTGACTTCTGCTCTTCTCCCATGGTGCAAATAGTAAACAAACCAAAACGGGCCGCTTGGAACATGGTCCAACGAAGCTCCTGGCTTGCTGCCCTCTCAATAAGCCAGAATAATAAACTAAGGTTTGTTCTGGATTTAGATACCAGTCAAAACAGAACAGGCTAAGCCAGCTGTTCCCAAGCTGCTGCACTCCAAGTATGGTACATTGCAACTCCCATAATTCCCAACCACCGTGGCTAAAGTCCAATACATCTGGAAAGGCTGTGATGAAGCAAAGTTCATAGTTGGCTTAGTGGCTGGAGGAGCAAGAGAGAAATAACAGACTATAACCAGCATCCTTCATCTGCTAGAAATGAGGTTCTGAGAATTCTGGCCAGCTTGCAAAGACACTACAAGGAAATCCATCTGGTCCTGACAGGACTCCCTTTCATGCTAGCGGGGAATACCCAGAATCACTTCTACGTGCACTACACAAATAGAGTGTTGTTCAAGTTGACCTGCTGGCCATGAAGTTTTCTCAGCATCAATATGAACGTGGATCACCACTGTCTTCTCCTCAGATGTTTCTTGCTATCCCAAGTCTATCCTCCACTGCTGGAATTTCACAGGATGTTCCTACCATCCCAGATTATCTTAGTCTTTTTTTCTGGATAAGCAGACACACTCTCAAACCATGCCACCCAAAATTTTATTTTCTAAGAATGCCACCAGCGTTCACCAGCACACGGGCACATAAACATTTTTGGTGGCATTTAAATATGTCTAAAACTCTAAAATGTATAGGCACATCCATGCTATTTTATTGGAAACAATATGAAAGTGGCTTGCCTTTCCCTTCTCCTGGAATATTCCATCTAACCTACAGCTGTGGGATTTCCTGGTGGTTTCCCACTAACTAGGTCTGATGTTGATGAGGTTTTTGGAGATCAGCTAGGATGAAAACAGTAATGTTATTACTATCCAGTGGAACAGTGAGCTTCAGGCTCTAGGGGAGACATCTGCAGGCATCTTAGAAATTCTATAGGCACCACATTCCTAGAGCAGAGGGCTCACAGATGCACACCCTTCACAAACTGGCAACATGAAAACTTCTGTGCAAAACACCCTGGCTCATGTAAGATAGACAAACATCCAGACCCAAAGGCTGGTTTTTCCAAAGGCCTGACACAGCCAGACTGTAACCTACCATACTTAGAAGGTATGTGTGACTATATCCATTCAGAGGGTGCAATTGTCACTTCAGATCCAAAAGAGGCCCAATTTCTGCAACTGACCATTGATTTCTCCAATCCTAGTCCTAATCCATCATTAGCTGAGTTTCCAGTATGAGATGGAGATCTTTGAAATAGTTGAGCTCTGCCCTTGGTCCTTGAACCAATGTAGAAACATTGCTAGGTCATCTGCAGAGGAAAGGGCTGGGCAAACAAAGGAGGAGGGGCATCTTTATAAAGTTCTTGCAGATGATGACTATAAATAAACCAACTTCAAACAAGGAACATAGCTTTATTTTTCTTGTTTAAAGATAATTTTAAGATCCTGACAAAATGGAATTTAATTTTAGAAACAAAATAGCATATTCACAGAAGGGTTCACCCCGATTAATTCTTTGTGTCCCGTCCCCTTATTTTTTCCAGAACCCCTTTATTCTTTTAAAATTTAATAAATCGGAACCAACTGTCTCCAATCCCCTCTTTCAGGACAAATTCTAGAATATGTAAAGACAGGCAACAATACCTTTGAACATAAGCAGAATGTGCCTTTCTCCTTCAGCATGCTTAACCCTCTTAAACTTAAGGTTTTAACAGTCAGAATTTGCAACCAAGCTAGAATTTTCCCACTACCTAGACATTTGTAACCCTCAATCAATCCTTCATTTTTCTAAATGTTTTTGTTGTTTTTCTCTGCATCTCCTCAACACCCCACCTCTGGCCCTCTAGTTACCTGTATTGGGGAAGAAGGATCACAACTTACTGGAGCTCAACATTTACTGGAAAGCTTCAGATGTAATGCCAGGGTCCTTGGCTTCCAGCCTCGCTATTATTTCCCAAATTAGGTCAAACTGGAGCTAGATGGAAGAGATCGGATCTTCTCCACCAACAGAAGCAACTGGACTTTCCCTACTGCTAGGTGATGTGAGACCAACATCTCCAATCCCCAAGGCTTTTCCCACTGCAAAGCCTCTGGACACTCATGCGATGGGAATTTCCTTCTCGTCAACTTTCCAGGTCAATCACTGACTTAGGTCAAGTAACTCAAGTGGGCTGTAGCAGCTGCTACAGGCTTGGTCCCACGGTTTGCTTTTGGTTAATTCCCTCCTCCTCGCATAAGTCCACATAAAGTACACTTATACATTAACTATTAGAGCATCCTGTTCTCAGATTTACTGCTTTTTAAAAAAGAAATTAGAGAAGGATGGCTGGAAGGTAAAGGAAGGTATTCAAGCCAGTGCTGGGGCCAAATGGGGCAAATCTAACTGAAATATTACACGCCTCTCTGGTGATGGCCTATTCCTGACTTTTCCATGCTATGGAAAAGTCAAAACTGGAGGGAGGAAACAGGCAGTCGACTTAATGGAAGATCCCAACTGCTGATGGGTTGCAGAAACTAGCCTCCCTATGAGATTGGAGACAAATGTTACCCAACAGCATGACGAGCCCCACAAATATAAACCACTCAATAGGTAGGAAGTGGCGTTATTTTCAACTGTCCCATTCCAAGCTGAGAGAGCTCCTTCAACCACAAAGGAGGACAGCGAGTTTTAAGGGCACTTAAGCCCAGCATGAACATGTTCCTGCAATCTCTTTTTTCTACCATATCTTGATGACATTGCCTTCATCTGACCCCCAACCCATACCTGGAGCAATTTGAAATCCTTCTTAGTTTTCCAGTGTTAATTTTTAAGAGGCAAGGAGTAGCAGGAGTTTTGCTGGGGTGTAATCTAGCACAGGCAAAACCTTGAAAAATAGCCAGAAATGGTGCTTTTGATTTTGAGCTATTTTTATGAGTTAGAAGATTTTAAAAACTAGAATGGAAGCTCCACCCTTAAAATCCCCTCCAATTCCAAAAAATAACTTTCCTCTGGAAAGTTGGGAGGTGGAGTAATGGTCCCCAATTTCATTGCCCATCCTAGTGTACAATCATCTGAGCTCCTGGAGGAGAAGTGGGATATAAATTCAATAAATTAACTGTATTTATTGAATTTATATTCAATATTTATATTTAAGTGAGGAAGATGAGTATAATCTGGTAAAGGCATGACCAGGCTTAGGTTATGCCTATTGTGTGAGACTGTGGGCTGGGGAATTCTTCATCCCAGGTTTTGCAGACTTCCTCCTTTCATACAGTCCGTATCTTCATCTTCAATACCTGCTATAACAACGAGCATTTTGCTAGTTGATGGCAAAGCTGTCAGTAGAAGGGTATTATATTAAAAGCAGGCTGTGCAAGGTTCTAGTTTGCAAAATAAATTGTACAACTGTGGGCCAATATGAGGACATAATCTTCTTTCTGCATGAAGGAGACAACGCTTCATTGCACGCGCACGTGCACACACACACACACACACTTTGGTAAAATTTAACTCAAATAACCCTTGACCGAAGCAAGACTGAGCAGACATGTGCTGAAGGATTTCAAAGAAAAGGGACCCCACCTGATAGAAAAGAGGTTTGAATGGCTGCTTAGCTATTAACTGGGACTACCACTGGGCAGGACCACAGCCACAAGAGGACATTCTGCAGGAGGGAGAGACGCAAGGGGGAAGGCACAGGCCTGCAAAGCTTTGGGCATTGTCCAGTTGGGCTGCAAGAATAAAGATGGAATTAGAGCCCTAGATGAGGGTTCAATTATGGGGAAAGAGGTGAAAGGGCACCAAGACCACACCATTTATTGTCCGAGGATTTCCAGAAACATCCCTACTATAAAGTCTTTAGTGAGACAGCAAGGCTAACTGAATCATTATGGAATAAGCTTCTAGGGAATCTAAACTGAGTCTGGGACAAGGAAAGTCTTTCATTAATTATTTAGTCTTGACATTACTACTAACTGAGACATATTCCTCATTAGGATTCCTTCACCACATGCTTGCCTG